TTTGTGCCGGTTGTGGCCGGGGTGGTGGTGGGGGTCTGGGTTTATAGCCCTACCATTTCTCTTGGGGGGTGGAACCCGTTTGGTTTTGTTTGTTTTCCCCCCCCCCCCCCCCCCCCGGACATTACGGCACTCGGCTGACCTTGACAGTATGGATATGGGCAATCCTTTCCGATAGCTTCCGGACGCGCTGGTCTCTGATCGTAATTCAAGGTGAAATGAGTGGTGTAGTATCGTCCCTCGCCCGTGCTAATGTCCAGTAGCGGCTATCGGTATCGTCCCGTGCATCATCATGAGCCAGTGGACCTCTGATCCCGACCGCGTATCGCTCTGGTGCGCCTACGCCAGCTATATCATGACTTATCTGAGTCTTGGCACCGCTCCGCTCGTCATGTCCTGGCTGTCGGACCTGTAATGCATTCTCCCCCTCTTTTCACGGTAAATGCTAACCAGCAGTCCAGACTCCCCGCCGACTCAGAAGCCCGCACGCTGATTGTCGGGTACTCCATCGCCGGGGTCTACGCCGTACTGTCGTGGTCGCAGGTGCTGATCTGGCCGGCATCGCAGGCCCCGTTTTGTATGTTTTTCTTTTCCGTCGAATTCTTGCAAGAGTCGAGTCTAACATCGGATGCACACACAACAGATCATTTCGCATGGCAGTTGTCGATCGTCTTTTGGATCATTGTCATTGTGATGGCGTGGGGGATGCATGCACATGAAATGGCGTTGAAGCAAAGCCTGTCTTTTCGGTCTACATAAGAGTTCCTGTCTAGCCCCAGATACCACCTAGCTAGAACTTCCCATGATTGTAAGAATCCAAGTAGTACATCCTTGACCCGATCTGTTCCCTGTCCGCAACGGACTCCCGCGGGGAGTGCTTCCTCCTGGCCCTAGATTCCGGTATAACAGTAGCTCGGAAGTATCACTGGTGACCTGGGCGGCTCCTCGTCGGCATTTTCCTGCTCGGCAGCCTCCCAGGCGTCGAGAGCGTCGTTCAACGCCATGATATGCATGTCCTTATATAAGAGATGATTGTGCATGTCGACGATGGCCCTGTACATGCGGGCCATTATCCTGTTCCCGAATTCCATGATATTGTGAGTGCCACGCGAGCACGCAATCCAATGTTGCAGGTTGCGATCGCTTTCACTCCAGGCCTCGGCGAGCGCCTTGTTCGTGGCCTCGTACTTCTTATTTTGGGCGTCGATTTCCGCCCTCAGGGCCGAAGCTTCGAACTTCAAGGCCTTATTTTCGGCCTTCAATGCCTCGTTTTCTGCCTCGAGTCTCTTTAGGGCCCCGGCGGAGGGCATATTGGTCTCGGCGGAGGGCATCTTGGTGTCGGCGGGGGGTGAGGACATGGCTAGGAAGTGGTCTGGCGGTTTGTTGATGGAGTTGTAGGAAGTGGCTCGGGGCTGAAATGGATGTGAGGAGGCGTGGAGTGAATGAAGAAGGGGTGCGAGGTGGTTTGAAAAGGCGTCTGGATGGATAGGAAAGGCCTGTGGATGGTTGAGAAGAGGCGTGGAATGGATGATGAGAAAGGAAAGGTAAAGTCGAGAGAGGGCTGGGTATTTATACGGGAGCCTGGAGGGCATTTGGGGAATGATCAAGGCCTATGCGTGGTCACTCGATGGTCAGGGCTTGCTTTAAGAGGCTATAACTGACTAATGCGAGGCTTGTTCAGATCGTTCATGTATAGTGGTGAAGCTAGGCTCTAGATCTAGGTCTAGATCACAGCTAAATAACTAAAATTGCTGTAGGTCTTCGGAACTAGTTGCATAGGACACAGATAGCTGCTTCATAAGCTCTGGTCTAATGTGTGGGAAACTAAGCTCTCTGCAGGGAACTTTTGTGTGCGTGTGTGTGTGTGTGTGTTGAGGTAAGAACTGACTCAGCGAGAGCTGGGCCAAGTCATCTATCTATCTATTCTGTTACCGTGGTTTGGTTGGCTCTGAATAGCTTGATCCTTTTGACTCAGTTACTTGCAAGTAAACAAAGAATCTGAGATGGTAATGTCAGTTTAGTGCGCACCAGCAGCATTGGCGACCGCTACCCGTCGGGGTGCCTGAATCGCCACATGACGAGCTGGAGTTATTTTTGTATCAAATCTGCATATAAACGTGCTCAAACTCGGGGCATACTAGACCTACCATCTCGGCCGAAGGGTGCAGGAGAGGGAGGTTAGTTTCTTCACGACGATAGTTTCTTTTACGACGATACATTCCTGATGCAGCCACCGCAAGGCTACCTACCTAGTCATTTAGTCTGATGATGTCGCCTGCGGTGCTTCAAACTTGTGCACTCAGGGGTATATGCGGAAACTCACCTACCTAGCTTCGCAGACTGTCTTTTTCAAAGACTTGCTCCTCGGATCATGTGTCTAGCTCGTCCGCTATTGGTCTTCTAGTCGAACTTGGTTGAAACGCACGTCTTGAACCAAAAAAACACAGCATTGGTGTTCTGCAACGGATCCGGGCACATGGGATTTTCTTTTTAGTGCTCCGGACATGTGACGATGCTCACCTGGCACCGGCTCGGGCACAGGCTCGGCTCATCACTCTTTGCTCGGACTTTTGTTTAGCTTCCCCGGCAAAACCCTAATCACATCGACAAGAAAAGAATTAAAGGTTGCACATGTGGAGAAGATTGCAACGGACAAGCTGGGACGCACTGTTGTCAATATCATGTGAACAGTATGAAATTCTGCATCCTGAAGGGCTCTGAGTCTCTCCAACATTCCCTTGTTTCAATAATCAAACCCCTTGGCTGAATCACAAAAAGTTATGTTCCTTCTTGCACAATAGTTCCATCCGCAGTAAGACCGTCCACCTTGCCGTTCTCTCCGGTGGTTTCCTCTGGTGGGGTTGCGTGGAAATTGGTCCTGATCTTTGTTCCAGGATTTATGAAGCCAACGATAGGAAATAACTCCCCACGGACATTATCATAAGCCTGGCCTGCCCCCGTAGTAGGTAAGCAGTGATCTGGATCCGAAGTTGAGCAAACTCACCGAGAAACTTCCCATTTCTTGTGAAGTAAATGCTATGGGTCTTTCTGCTGTACCCACAGCCAACGGTATTGCCCTTTGCAAAGGGCTGCGCGTATGGCTTTCCACCTAGCGGGGCGTCAGGGCAGACAGCCCGTCCGTCGTCAGAGTGGTATCCCCA